TTTCGGTTATTCTCTGCTGTTGCTCAGTCTCCCTCTCTCTCTCTCTGTGTGTGTGTGTGATTCTCTATCATATTTTGTTTTAATTTTCTTTTCGGTTGATGCGTGCTCTTTTGCTTAGGTCGTATACCGATAATATTTTATATCTGAATGTTACCGTCGCCAATGCCACCACTGTTAGTGCGTGCTGCTGCAATCTTTCTTCTTTCCTCTATCTCTCTCGCATTTTCATTTGGAACATTTTTCCCGGCGTTCTTTCTTCGGCCTCAACATACAGTTACTCACAAAATTGTTCGTACACCTTGCTTTTCCGAACAAAATGCCATTTTTTCATTAATTTTCGTGACAAATGAATTGTATGAGCACATGATTGTAAAAGACTAACTCTTTTAGCAGATATTCATGTATATATTTGACATAAATATTGAACACATAAAAAAATTGGGACAAAATATGTGGAAGTGTCGCTTTTTGGGTCTCACAAAATTGTTCGTACACTGAAGTTTATGGGCATTTTTTCAGTAGATATCCAATACATTTACAGTGAACCGAATTTGGAATCATTTTTGTGATCCTCTACCATCAATTTGACACATTGGTTATAGCAAAAATATCACTCTCTTATCCAGATGGCGCCACCAAAATAGTGAAATGTCGAAAATGGTCCATTTTGCTAGTCACCACCCCAGAATATAGCATTCACATTATTTTTTACCACCCAAATATGCTTGAACGCATTGAATACCTTAAGAACTTCGACATATAGTATGACTTTTCCCATTTTTTTCAATAATACTGGTTCATTTGTGTGGTCAGTTTGAGCATTTTGGTAGAAAATGCTTATCGAGGCCTCACCAAAGGGCCGCTATGTACCCTAAGGTAGCAAATTTTGGCCTCATATCGGTGGCTATGGATTGGTCTTGCAACGCCACACAAATAATTCCTACCAGTGATTTCGAATTTTAACAATGGGTATGCTTTTTTGGAGCATTAACATCTGATTTGTTGAATATTTAACGAATTATATGGAAATTAGCGAATATTCAACAAATCAGATGTTAATGCTCCAAAAAAGCATACCCATTGTTAAAATTCGAAATCACTGGTAGGAATCATTTGTGTGGCGTTGCAAGACCAATCCATAGCCACCGATATGAGGCCAAAATTTGCTACATTAGGGTACATAGCGGCCCTTTGGTGAGGCCTCGATAAGCATTTTCTACCAAAATGCTCAAACTGACCACGCAAATGAGCCAGTATTATTGAAAAAATGGGAAAAGTCATACTAAATGTCGAAGATCTTAAGGTATTCAATGCGTTCAAGCAGATTTGGGTGGTAAATAATAATGTGAATGCTATATTTTGGGGTGGTAACTAGCAAAATGGACCATTTTCGACATTTCACTATTTTGGTGGCGCCATCTGGATAAGAGAGTGATATTTTTGCTATAACCAATGTGTCAAATTGATGGTAGAGGATCACAAAAATGATTCCAAATTCGGTTCACTGTAAATGTATTGGATATCTACTGAAAAAATGCCCATAAACTTCAGTGTACGAACAATTTTGTGAGACCCAAAAAGCGACACTTCCACATATTTTGTCCCAATTTTTTTATGTGTTCATTATTTATGTCAAATATATACATGAATATCTGCTAAAAGAGTTAGTCTTTTACAATCATGTGCTCATACAATTCATTTGTCACAAGAATTAATGAAAAAATGGCATTTTGTTCGGAAAAGCAAGGTGTACGAACAATTTTGTGAGTAACTGTATATAAAATAATATTTATTCATTTGGGCTTGTATTGTTTGTTCAGTTCTGGAAACGTTTTCAAGCTCTAGCTTGTATACAAATGCTTTCGCATTAAATTTTGCCTGCTACTTAAAAGAACTCATCGGAGATAATGAATTGCCGTGTTTTATTCATTATATCTTGTGTTCGCCTCATCTCTGTTTCCAGCTTTTGTCTGTCCCTTTTGCTCTGTGTATATATATACTGATGCTGCTCTGCCTTTTGTAACGAAAGCATTTCTGGCTGTCGGCTTGGTTTAGGCTTAAATCATTTAAAAAATGTAACGCGCAATATACTTTCAGTTTGTACTTTTGTTCGTTTGATCTAAGACTGTGTTTGGTGAATCAGAAGAAAGCTAAACACACTCACACAAAATGCGACGACACAGCCAGCGACGAAATCAAACGAAGAGTGTGAGTGTGAGAGAAAGATTTTATTCCGGTATCTGGTTCGGTGTTTACTTCTCTCCATCGGAAATTTTTATTACGATATTTGCTCCATTGTTTTGCTGGTGATGGTGATGTGATGGTGTGGCGGTCTCTCATTCGATGAAACGACCCATGATGTGATCAGTAACAATAAGCCACACACAATAAAATTCATGGTTACGAAATGGTTGAATGTGAATGTGTTTTGTCCACTAAATTATTCATAGATAACTTTGCTTGAAAACCACTTGAACACGGGATTTTTGAGTGGTTTTTTGTATGTATGTATATATATGTGTGTGTTAAATGTATGTTATTTGGGAAAATAGCGAATTTTTGTCGCTCTTGCTCTACGTCATTTCCCTCTTCGATAAACGGTGTCAACACACAATGTTATTCGCAATTTTGTATTCTATGATTATTTAACGGAAACGGATTGGCTGGTTTTTGAAGATCACCACGATTACAAGGTGGAAATGGACACAATTACGAAAAAAAATGTATTATTTTCGCTCCGTTTGAGTGCGGCCAACGATAGATGCCAACGATGAAAAAGTTGTGGAAAAAGAAGACGCCGAAAAATATATATATACCCAAAGAGAAATGTACACACATTTTGGTAAAATTGAAATAGCCAGCCATTGGGGAGTGGTTGTAGTACATCGAAAATCGGTTTGTAGCTCTTCTCTCGTCAATGTGGCGAAGACAAATGCCATTGTTATATCTAAAAATGTGCTTGTTACACGGTTTGTACAAGGGGGAAAAAAGTGGTCAATAACAATAATACCAATGATAATAACACTGTAATCGCAAGCATTTCGTCCCGCTACCAAAACTAATTGTACTTATCGTATAAAAATTCCATTGGTAAAATGTTAAAGCAAGCGAAAACAATTTTATGGACGACAAAATGTTGAAAGTCTCCACCATGAAATGAGAGTGAGAGTTTCACACAAGATGATTGTGTGCGGTATGTAGTAAACATTGTGTGGGAAATGACGTTGGTTGTAATATGAAAAGAGGTAAATCGCTACTCTTTTTTTCATTCTTTCTTGCGCGCTCTCTCTCTCTCTCTTCCTTTTCTCGGGCCAGCAAAAGAGGTAACGGCTGTCTATACGCCAATTTCTTTGAAGCATCCACCATTGTGAAACCATAATACCGTCATCGAATTCAACAACAAACGCGCGTGTTACTTTTCATTCGTGAACGAGCTTTGGTTGCTGTTCGTATTTGGTTGCTGTTCGTATTTGGTTGCTTCTTTCTGATTATTGCTCTCTCTCTCTTTCTCTCTCCCCTCTTCCTTTCTGCCTGTAAATTAGAATTACGGCCCAAAGAGCACACTGGCGGTAAATCTGTACGGCTGTCAACTTTCATGAATCATTTCATTTCACGTGCCGAACGATAAAGTTTTTATAGCATCGTTGTCGGGACACAAGACGAATGAGACGACGAGAATGAAAGCGAATCAAACAAAAAAAAAGTGGAAAAAGACGAACAAGAGAAAATAAGAAACAAACACAAAAGATGTTTTGTGAAAACAAATTGTCTACATAATTGATACGTTCTTCGAAATGGTTGTTGACAACGTCCTCGTCTTTGTTGCAGTCGTCATCATCAACGTTGTAACACTTGCCGAAAAATGAAGTATATATGAAGTAGCTTTTAAACCAAAGAGATAGGCAATTGAATGTGTCCCACAATCTGTGCGACACAAACTAAGTAGTATGGGCTAAAGCCCATCATCAGTTACAAAAGACGAGCCCAGAGCAAAACGATAGAGGAGAGACCGTAAAAAAAAGAGTAGAAGACGAAGAGATAATTTACAAACCGTTTCAACGGAAATAAATGATCTTTTACAAATGGTAACTCTAGCGCTTTCCGATATACATCGAAAAAGATAAATGAAAAAAAAATCAAAGGATTCTTCTGGCCTGTGTAGATGTCTGTGTGTGTGTGTGTGTGTGCGTCCGTCGGTATTTCATCGTCCTTTTTTGTTTTGCTGATAGAGGAACGTTACTATTTCGTGGAAATCGACAAAATCGTTAAGTGTATTTGAATTGAGGGTATGTCCTTTCAATCGATTTGGTAAGCCAAGAATTTAATGTAACACATCTCGAAATGAAGAAATCAAAGTAAATTTCTTTGTTTGGTGCCTGCCCGATGTTGACATTCATTCACATTGTCACTGAAACCAATGTCAAGCCAAATCAAGTGCGATACGGTTGTTATCGCTGCAATGATCACAAACACACCGGTCTCCTCTTTTACATCGATAGTCAATTCCTCTTCACTACCTATATATACCCAATACCTATTAACTAGCCAGGAATTATTTATCAGAGGAATGTTTATCTTGTGAACCTCAATTATTACTTTTGCCCGTGTCGTGTACTGTGTAGTGTGCACCGGTAGCAGCGGCCATAACAGCGAATCATGTTGTAACACAGTGACAATTTATGTATGTGATGATAACAAAAGACAATAAATGGAATGGTGTGACGATGACGACGGCGACGACGACGTTGATGGTGGTGGTGGCTATGGCAATGGTGACAATTAAACTTGTATGATGTGCACAGACTCGGCACATTTTATACATATTCATATACAAAATAGCCACGATAAAATACACACATACACAGCCAGTGATTTTAATATGCATCTTGGTAGTCTCCACACATCGTGCAACGCACGATCCGAATTACCCACGACTAATGGTTATAGTAACAAAAAAAAATTGTATTAGTGAATAAAACATTGTACGCGCTCTAACTCACCGGCTGGAATGATGTTGAAAATACACGGTTCGATTTGTGTTCCAATCTCATTGATGCCCCAGCATAGCAGCGTTCCTATAAAGTATAAGATATCTACATATATATATACGTACCCAATATATAAGCGTACCGTACGTACCGTAATCCTGAAACAAGCAAAAAGACAGAGAGAAAAAAAATGTATCCATTAACAACAATGCGAATGATAGATCGATAGCAATCGAATTAAGAAGTATAAGATTGGAACAACGAGAACAGAACAACAACAAAAAAAAAATAACAGCAGAAACTCGCAAATTGCGAGTCGCAATGTTCACTTTTGCTAATCAAAGTACATTTGGATGCCTTTGTCATGATTGCGTCCTCTCTCTCTCTCTCTCTCTCTCTCTCTCTCTCTCTCTCTTTCTCTCTCTCTCTCTCTCTCTCTCTCTCTTTCTCTGCGTGTGTATTTTATTTTTTTTATATTCCTTTATTTGTTGTTTGCAATTCGCATCGGCATTTTATAGTCGTGTACAAGTTAATTACGATCCAGATTAATATTGAAAGCGAATAAATACGTATACATACAGCGTGTGGGCCCGGAACGTAAGTTGAATTGACAATAGGGACGAGAGAACGATGAATGAAGTTTGTTGCATGTAAAGTATTGGAAAATAGCCTCCCGATCTCGAATGGCTGGGCCATGTGTTGTTGGTGTTCCGGTTATTGTTGTTGTTGTTGTTGTTGTTGTTGCTGTTGTTATTGGCAGTTGCGTTCAAAGTGCGGAATGATATTGTCAGCGGAAATAATATTGCAGTTTGTAATCAATAAATCCATCGAATGAAATAACATAAATTTTCTGTTGTTGCTTGTGAAGCAACGCTGAAATGCTGTTTTTAATGACATCGTTGTCTGCATGCGACGTTATACAAAACATGTTTTCAAAGTCACACGCAGCAACAGAATAAATAAGAGACTGAAGGGGAGAGAGAGAGAGGGAGGGAGTGTGTGTGTGTGTGTGTGTGTGTGTGTGTACATGGCAGAGAAAGAGAGAGAGAGAGAGGTGAGCGCGGGTGGACAACGATGGAATTTCACTTCACCAGGCAACAAAATGTTGTTGTTTAATTTACGTAATTATTGTTAGTCATTTGTAGATTTGCAAGCACTTAAATTGTTGTAGAAAATTTGTTTGGCGCGGCACAGAGAGCGAACGAGCGAGCAAGCGGTTGATGACGAGCGGTTGGAATGTGACGCGGAATTTTGTTCAACAAAATTCGCGAAATGCCAAGTGCAACTCAATTCAACGCTCCGCTCATCCGTTTTATATCTCTCTATAGAGATCTTGTTGTGCATCTGTGTGCGCGCTGTTTGCTATTTTTACTCTCTCGCTCACTTTATCTCATTTAATAACTTTGCCTAGTCGGACACAAAAATGCCGTCAAAAAGTATACTGCATGAGTCTTTCTGCTAATGGTTCTGGAATGCGCTTCTCAACTGTCTACACCAAAAACATTTTAATATTTTATTACGAAGCAAAAAACGTATAAAATAATCTTTTTCAACTCGTTTTTTTTTTCTGCCTCGTTCTTCTCTTATTCCAACTCCTTTATGTATGCACAGTACACATACAGTATGCATTTGGCAAGTGCTTTCGGGCCAAATTTGCTTATATCGGGAGATAATTTGATTTTTCTCTTCAAAGCTTCATCCAAATGACTTTTGCAACGATATAAAAGTTCTTTCTGTCCATTGAGTTTTGTGCGATGATTTGTGCAACGTCGACGACCAAGGATAAAAAAAAAATCACGGAAAAGATTTGTTGGATGATGATGGTGGTGGTGGTGGTGGTTGTGATGATATGGGTTGGGTATTTACATGCACTTGGGCTACTCTACTTACATGTTCTGTCATCGGTGTATACTGGGCCACAGCGTTATTTCGTTCGGGAAAGATTTGCGATGCGGGTAAATCAAGGAACTCCGTTGCCGATACGTTGAATTTCCAATTGAATGTGACATTTTGTGGATTGGCTTCCAATTCGCATAAAACTTTGATCGTCTCCTGACGCCCGCCGCTGTACAACGTTTTTTGGCCAGGACGACAAACTGGTGCAACTATTTATGGGTGTGTATATACATATATATGGGTAAACACATGAATTTCGAGGAGATAGAAAAAAAATTGCAATATAAAAGAAAATTGAAATTATTTTAATGTGTTGTGTGTTGATACATGCAAATGAAGCGGTCGTTTTTCTGTCGATTTTAGAATCGCCCTATTTTTTTTTCTTCCTTTCTTTCTTCTCCATCACCATTTGTATATTTTATGTTTAGCATTCTCATTTAGCAAACAAACATATTCACATGCGTCTCTCGCTCTCTCTCTCTTTCTCATTTGAGGTATTAAGGCAGGAGAATATCAACCAGAAAAAAAAATACACAGAGAAACGATGGAAATGGAAATCAAAAGTTTACAAAGACAAGCGAGTAAGAGTATTGTGCGCGTACACAAACAGAGTGATAGAATGTACAAGGTGGTGGTGGTGGTGGTGGTGGATGCTGGATGTTGGAGTGAGAAACAGAACGAGGAAAATGGAACAAAATGTTGGAATTCACAAGATGTGGCTACAAATTGTGTGACTGAATAATTGAAATAGACCGAGAGAGAGAGAGAGAGAGAGAGCGAAAGAAATGCCATTAATTTCATGTGGAACTGATGCGCGAATATCAGGCAACACAGACAAGAGAGCTAAAAGAGATAAAATGCAAGGCAATGATGTAGCGTGCAAAATTGATAAAAAGATGTGAACGAGATGCGGAGAAGAAGAAGAAGAAGAAGAAGACGAAAATAAAAACATGAACGCAACGCAAAACAAAACAACGTAACGAGGCGAAAGAAGGAAAAACACCGACCGACAGAGAAAAAAAAAACGACGACAAAAAAAAACACATAATACTATATGTACATTTTGAATGTGTTTAAATGCGCGCACACACGAAAAATTCCCAAACAAAATTCGAACAGCTTTTTCCATTCCATTTGCCATTTTGCGGTTACGACTCAACAGCAGCAGCATCAGTATCAGCCACGTTGGCATCAACGCATTTTTGGCTGTTGCTGTCATTTCCTTTCTCTTCTTTAGCTAGCCTAATGGCAAAAGCTAAACGTAAACCTTAATGAAACAGAACAAAGTTGTGCATTGGGTTTTGTTTCTTTCGTGCGTTCTTTTTTTTCTCTGTCGTTTTTCATTTTATTTCATTTTCTTTCGTTCCTTCTGATTCGCTCTCGTTCGTCGGTTTGGTTTAATATCGCATTTCCACCGGTCGCATTTCACAACTCTTTTGAGCTGTCCATTTCTCTCGCTCTCACTCTCCTCTGTGTGTGTGTTGTTGTGCAACGCATTTCTGTTAATTCAACTGCTTTTTTGCACTCACTTCACACCGAAAAATAGAAAAAAAAGGCACACACACACACAAGTGGCAAATGCTACAAGAAAGCAAATAGTGAGTAAGACAAAATGTTGTAATGAAAAAGAAATGAGGGTATGGGAAGAAAAAAAAAGTGTAAATAAAATATATGTAGAGATACAAGAGGGCCATGAACTCAATGAGAAATTTAGCGGAAGAGTTAAGAAAATATGAGAGAGAGAGTCGGAATGAAAGAAAAAAATAATAAAATAACGGAACTGCGAATAATTACATTTAATGTCCAAATGCACCGGATTACTTTCGCCATCACCTTCACGATTGCTCCCAATGCACGTATACAGGCCGCTTTTGCTTCGGCTTACATTTTGCAGCACTAAACTTTGGTTGGCTACAATTATTCCCTCTGGCACATTGTTGTCGAGCGTTTTACCCTTCAAATTAACACAATTATTATTAAGTTGTCAACGGCATTATACAAACCTACCAAATACACATAGAGAGAGAGAGACATAAAACTGCATGGGAATCGTTGAGCACAACACAGTAATAACGGACGGACGGCACACAGTACACGTAAATCAACCTTCGGTGTATCCTTCTGTTGGAATATCATTTCCCTTATGCCATCCAACAGCGTAGCTCAATCATTCCGTGCGTGATTCGATGAAGTTCGCTCAAAACGAATGTATCATGTGCACGACTTATCATTCAGCCAAGTGAACGATATGTCTTTATGTTTGTCTACCGTGTCGTTGCTCACAAACCAGTCTTGTTCGTTCTTGGGGAGACTCGTTTTTTCCCTTCGTAGCGCCATATTGCTTTTGACGCCGAGCATATTATAATCATTCTTCAAACAAAGCGGCAAGCGGCAAAAGTACACATCCTCAAGTGATTATGCAGTGACACGATTCGAATCACAATGAAAAATTAGTTAATAACTTATAGTTGTTGTTGTTACCTTTTCTCTTTCTTCTCTTTTTTCTTCGAGTAAGGTGTTAACTATTAATTAGACGGCTGTTTTTCCATTCCATATTTGCGTTTGCCAGTGCACGACGGTACGCAGATTTTTTTTTTTGTTCATTGTATCCAGCTGACGCTTATTTTTTCTTGTGCTAGTTTTGTCATTGTCGTTTTTGTTGTCGTCGTCGTTTTTTCTCCGATTCATATTCCACGAATTTTATGCGAGGTGACAAGCGTTGAGCAGCCATGTCATGAATAGCGACCGTCAATTTTGCTTTAGCTCGTTAAGCTTTAATGCTTTGTACTTCATCATTTTTACTTTTGTGTTACTGCTGGCTGCTGTTGTTGTTGTTGTTGTCGCGTGTACGCTTGCCTGCTCGCTCGCACTCTGCACTTTTCGTACTTCATCAACACGACTAGAACAAATGATATGGTTGTACTTTAGTTTGAGGTCACGGTGCTGCTACTGCTGCTGCTGTTACCGTTTTTATTTCTTCTTGCTTCGCAACCACATGCACACAAATTACTGTCACGGTAATCCCAAATTAAGATAAAACACAGAGGCTTAATCGCATGTCCTGTGTGCACTGCAATTCACTAGTCCGTTCTTGTTTTTTTTTCTCTCTTCTTTTTCACTCTCCCTCGCTGTCTCTCATCCATTCATTCACTCACTCGCACTTGTATTGCCTTATAATGTGCGCATCGCGCTCCACATTCCGTATAACTACAAACATGAATGATCCAAATGTAATCAAACGAATTCCAGTTCTGCAATCATAACATAAATGTTCATTACGAGCATTTCCGCTGCTGATGCGTCTGTTGCTGCCACCGTAAACCATAATGATTTTATAAAAATTGTTGCGCGCAAAATATAAATTATACACGCTCAAGATGGCACAATGATAAAGAGAATGGCTTGAAAAATGGCGCGAAGTAGAGAGCCGGATGAAAAAAAAGGAGACGAAGAATTGTAGCTCTGCGGCATGAGCACGCCACTATTTAATGAAGAAATATTGAAAAATATTCATTCGCTGGTAGAGCATCTTCTATGGCATGCAATAAGTCTTCGATTGCTTGAAATAACGGCAACAGCGGCACCACCACCATCGCCAATAGCAACAGCATTTGAACTGATTCCGTATCGGTCTCAGCGGGTGGGGTGGGCGAGACTTGGAGAGAGAGAATACATTCAAAACAAAACGTTTTGATCCCTTTGTTCGATGATGCATTCTTCATGTTTTATAAATTAATCGATGATTTTGCAACATTCGATTAGCTGCATACGCTCGCTTTGCGAGACCAGTTATCGCAAGTTTTCGTATTGCAAACCAAGAGATGAACCACATTGTACAACGGTAGCATGTTTTGTACGCCGGGGCCAAAGTGATCGTCAACGATGATGATGATGATGATGATGATGACGACGACGACGACGATGGCAAAAAGAAAATGTGCAACGGGTATTTTGTTATGGTTAATGCTTGGGAAATGTGCTGAATGGGCGCCATTTACCGTAAAACCATATCGCCAATCTATCGAAATGTATTTTTGTGCACCAGCCACCGCCACTGCCACCAACAACAAGAACACATCGAATATTCGGTGCATTGTTGGTATGACAATATTATCCAATGATTCGATGAGCGCGTGCGAGTGAGTGAATGTGAGAAAGAGAGAGAGAGAGAGAGAGAGACAGAGGAAGAAAGGAGTGAGAGTGAAATTGTGGCGTTGCTGCCATTACGTAAGTATCGATTTTATACCTTTGCAAAATGCATTGAAGTGCAAAAACCCGATTTTCAGGGAATTACGATCAAAGAACCAACCAACAAAAAAAAAACACACAACACAATGTAACGTCATACCTCAGCATTGGAAAAAGGAAGGCGTGGAAAAAAAGAGAGAGCAAGAACACTGTAGCAAAATCGCCAGAGAAATTAATGTTGTGTAATTTTCAACACGTAAAGCCACAAAGCGATATGAAAGCGTTTCGTTTCATGACCAAAGTGGACGCAAAATTGAGCATGTTTGATTTATTTATTGAAGTAGTTTTTTGTGTGTGTTGTTTTTCGCTTTAACTACCATCGTCTCGTCTCATCTCCATCGTTCACATTTTGGTCTTCTACTTTTTGTTCAGAGCCAAGTCAAATGTGCCGAAATAAAATTTTTCACTGAAATGCTATTCCATTTGATGCTGTGTGCTGCAATTTATAGTGTGGTATATGTGTTTGGTAAAAGAATAGAAAAAAAGTAGTTTCTCTCTTTTTCTTCATATTTGTTTTCACTTTGATATTCACCTCCGAATGTTCGCCAACCACTTTCTTTGAAACGAACTGAAAAGGATTGCATTGCCGTTTTTTTTCCTTTCACTCTTTCTCTTTTCATATATCCAGCTTTTGTTTGCATCGAGCTTTGCTTCAGCTTCAAATGTACAAAAAGCGGCGAAGAACATTCCATTTGGAAAATTTTTTCAAAGTAACGATCATTGAAAATGCAAATAATGCACCTACTTTTCCAGCGAAATGAAAATGGGAATTCTTTTCGAAATTTCATTCGACTGATTGCCAATTTCAATGATCCGCTTGCTGCTTTTTTTTCACTTCATCCGCTTGAAATTCATCTTACGTGCCGTTAATTAACGCCAAACCAAAATCTCTTGCTTTGGTTGTTTAATATACGACACAGGATTGTGTGGGCGCGCGCACAAGCTCACGCACAAACACCGACACCGACAACTGTTCAATTTGATGTCGTGCACGCGAACGTTGGAATTTGTAGCTGCTGGCTTCACCGAAAAATGTTGATGGAGACTTTTCAAATCCGGCATTGCACAACTATAAACTTTATTGACGTAATTCATCAAGTGCGATGCAAGAGCTGTGTGCCGATGGTTTTGTAGGTATATATGTGTGTATGTGTTGTCGCTTCATTTCTATTTTTCTTTTTGGTTATTTATTTTGCTTGTTTCAAAGAAAGTTCAAACACACAATCCACTGAAGGTTTTTGTCTTATTCTCGTTCGTACATTTTTTTGTTGTCTACTTCTTTGTTTTTCATCTATCATTCCCCCTGAACATAATCTTCCGGATAAACATTAAAGAGACGAAAAATCCGCGACACGTGATGTTAATCCATTACTTAACGAATTAGCTTTCAGATGCACATAAACATACCCAAAAATCTAACAAATGCATGCACACAACTCTAATATCTCTCTCTCTCTCTCTCTCTCTTTCTCTCTCTCTCTCTCTCTCTCTCTCCGACTCACTTACTTGCTCACTACACTTATACTCTTTCGCCCTGGCGAAACTTCGAAATATTCCATGTATAGTAATGTAGCCGAGTGTGTCTGTATGTTTTGAATTTTATACAGTCAACGAATATCGAGTGTGAGTATAAAAACGAGCGAACGAGAATGGATGTGAGCGAGAGAGAAAGTGATAGCAAATTTTCGCATATTACATCGTTTCGAAATACGTTCGCAGTTTGTGAAAAGTCGGAGAAAAATGTGATAAGCATTAGAGTAGTGTGCGACGGGAGGGTAGAGTGAAAACAGTGCGCTTTATTGCAATGCCTCGCATACCATGCGAGTTAAATGCGTGCTCAACATAGCTGTGCTATGGAATTAATATCTTGGACTGGAGCAAGCTCACTCATTCTCTCTACACCCAACCCTATCTATATATCTATCTATCTCTTGCTCTTAAATCTTTCGTTCACGCGCTCACTCTCTCGCTCGCTCGCTCGCTCAACTCAACCCTACTGTTTGCTCATCGCGCAGTAGAAGAAGGGAGAAAAATGAGACGAGCAATGTTAAAATAAAACTACCAAAAGAACTTAAACTTATCTTTGTGAATGGTTTTATGATAATTTGAATTTGAATTTATTATATTTTGCTCGTGCTTTATTTTGATTTCGCAGTCAGCCCTCAACCTCTCTTTGCTCCATACATATTACATGTCGTGTTATTCATCTTTTATTCAAATATCTCGACTTTATTTAATTAGATGGTTGTATGATGATGGAAGTGAAACATGCCGCAACATCTTTTGCAAGAAAATATCATTGCGCAACGGATAGAGTACGATGGCAAACGTTGAAACTTAAGACGTAGGATAAAAATATGACTTTTCCCATGAGACAGTTTCTGAATATGTGCGCGCGCGAGGGAGAACAAAATAATAAAATGAATGAGCAAGTGAATAAGAGCCAAGGTCCGGGAAATGAAGACAAAATGTGCGTGCTCAAAACGGAATGAATGTGTTTTCCGGCTACCGACTGGCCGCTTGTCTACGCTCTACCACCTCAATGTGAACGCGCCACAAATCAATGAATTAAAGATTGAACCGAGACATAGATTCAGGCATAATTTTACGATTGCGATAGTGGTCAAAACGTAACAAATAAAACCATTAAACTTCCGAGTTCCGAACATAACACATCCACCGCACTGATTACGGGCTATTCATTTC